TCTGCTGTTGTTATTGTTATTGAAGGTCTCTCCGGCTAAAAGACAGCGACCCTCACCCTAGTGGCCAAAGTGTAACTGTGTGTGTGTGTGTGTGTGTGTGTGTGTGTGGGTGTTAGGGGATCATAAAACCTTGACTGAGGTCGGTCCTGGCCTCTGACTGACGGACAGAGGATGAGATTGTTTGGCGGTAGAACGACCAGCTGTGAGAGTCGCCCTGGGACGGATCCTCGGGCGTGTCCTCCCCCCCCCCCCCTCGATGGATGTCTCTTGACCTCCAGGGGTCTTGGACGGGGAATGAAACGTTTGTCTTAAGGACGGTGTCGTTGCGAGGCTGTTGCTAAGATACAAGATGGAAGATGATGGCACTGGAGTCATTAGTCTGCCGACAGAGCGTCCACAGGGTGTTGTTGTAAGAGGCCTGAGGGTTATTATGTGGAAATATTGGTTTTCCAATTTGCATGGTCTCGAGGAGATAGCGTTGTGCGTCATAAGCAATTACAGTCCTGTCGTCCTTTGTGCTCCCTGGCTGCATCTATTACTCCTGGCTGATTCAGTTCCCTCCAACGCAGCGAGCCGCTCGAGCCGCTGGCCGCTCTGCATCCTCTGACACTCGGGCTCGATGCCGGGAGAAAATCTCTCCGTGCTCAGTCCGTCGATACGCCATCAAGGGGCAATTCAGAGTCTTTCCTGTCAATCTGGAAGCAGCATCAGTGGATCGCTGACATGTTGCAGCAGAACTGTCGCTTTGTGACGTACGGGTTTTTGTTTTGGTCGCAGGCTCGTTACTCACGAGAATCAAGCGGTGAAGTGAAACGGTGTCGTCTCAGAATCCCTGAAACTCAAACTCGGCAGTGATTCATGAAGCTGAAGGTGTCCGTCGAATCATCGGCTTCTCTGCGACCTCCCCTCGAGATGTGAAGGAGGATTTATAAAGAGCTGCACTTACACAAGGAACAACTTTATTCAGAACTCATTCACTGACAAACTCGTTCAACTGTTCGAGTCAGAATCACATTTTACTCTGAGAGAACGTTTAAGCTTCGTAACAAATACCAAAGAAACAGACTTCAAGTAGAGTCATTATATAAAAACATAAAAACAAGTTGAGCAGTTAAAAAACGTATTACTAATTGCTCTGATTGGCTGCAGTGGCCGATTGATCTCGATATGTCGCCTTCTGGAGATCTGGAGGAGAATCTGGAATCATGGTGACCGTGTCACAATAAATCTTTTGACAGATCTTCTGTTTCTTCACAGAGGGAGATGGTTTATGCACCTCAGGATTCTCCACCTAACCGTCGCCTCAGCAACCCGCCCCTGTCCTCCCAGCATTCCTCCGCCTCTGCCTCCCCGCCCCAGGGTTCGCCGTCCCGCGCCCGCCTCCTCTACAGCGGGGGCAGACCTTCGTCCTACGCCGGCCCCCAGCACCACACCCACTCCCTGCCGCATCCGCACTCCCAGTCCCACCACTCCTCCCCCCACCAGCAGCCGCAGCTCCACCAGTACCCCCAAAACCCCCACCACCCCCAGCAGGCCTTCTGCACCTCCTCCAGCGCCATCCTGGAGCGCAGGGATGTGAAGCCCGACGACGAAGTGGGCGGGTCCCGGAGCATGGTGCTGCTGCGGGGGGACGATCGGGGTGGAGGGGGGATCTACGCGGACCCCTACTCTCTGGGCCCTGAAGCGAGTCGGCTGAGTCTCGCTGGAGGTCCTCACTCCCCCCTCCCGGCCAGAGCCGACCCTTACGGCTCTTTATACCGCCGTGGAGGAGGCGGAGGCGGTGGGGGAGCCGGATCGGTGCGTTCTCTCACCTCCTATTCAGCCGCTGCTTTACAAGGGGAGCTGATGGAGAGTGGTGCTCTCTACAGGCCGGGAGGACCCCTCTACAACGACGCCTACGCTGCGTCTGTGTTGGCCATGGGGCTGCGGGTGCCTCCCCCCTCCTCCCCCCAGAAGATCCCTGACATGAGGGACTCCTACGCAGGCACCATGCCCGGCCGCGGCTCCCCCGGCAGGCAGAGCTTGAGAAGGGACTCTGTGACCTCCTCTGTGTTCGGGGACAGTCCCAAAGCCCGGGGCCAGGGGCCCTTAGGTCTCACCTCGGAGCAGCTGTGCCTGATGGCCGGGCCCGGGGGCGAGGGGGGGAACGCCGGGGGCTTCGGCTCACCGCTGCTGGGGAACGAGACGGAGACAAGGTAGGACACAACCTGAGGGGACATGGTTAGACAGGTTTATTCACTTCACATGCATGAGACACTTCAGTCAGGAACTCAGAATCAGAACGCAACGTCTGCAGTTTTTTATCCCCAGTCTAATGTAACATGACGGTGTCACGTGATCAATGACATAGATCTAATGTAACATGACGGTGTCACGTGATCAATGACATAGATCTAATGTAACATGACGGTGTCACGTGATCAATGACACAGATCGTATCTCTCCATCCATCCAGGGAGCGTATGGAGGCCATGGAGAAGCAGATAGCCAGTCTGACCGGGCTGCTGCAGAGAGTCCTGAGCAGAGCGCCGGAGGCCGAGAGCCCGTAAGACACACACACACACACACACACACACACACACACACACACACACACACACACACACACACTAAGATCTTCTCAGTCGTGTTTCAGAACTTTGACTCTCTCCTCTTCCAGGGAGAAGATTGAGTCGGCCAGTGACTGCTCTGGAACTGACAGTAAGTTCTCACAAACTACTTCCTGTCGCTGCCCGTCACTCTGCCTCTGCTGCCGCCACGTAAAATGGCTCCTCCTCCTCTGCTGCTATTTCTTTTTCTTTGCATATTTCTCACACGGCCTTGTGATGTGATGCTAACGGCTGATTGTGTGTGTGTGTGTGTGTGTGTGTGCGTGTGTGTGTGTGTGTGTGTGTGTCGGCTTCTTGCTGCTGTGTAACTGCTGCTCATGGTTTTGTTTTAGCTGGACGAACTAAAAAAAAGAAAGGTAGCTACTGTCTGTGTTCCTCAAGTGTCTGCTTCCTGTTCCCCCGTCGGTGTTTAGAACCTGTGTGTGTGTGTGTGTGTGTGTGTGTTCCTTCACTCTCCCCTCGTTTTTTTGTCGTCTTCTGTAACAAATCATTTGAGTTGCATTAAATCAGACACTGAATCTCTCACTGAATTTCTCGGAGCGATTTCAAAGGTCCAGCGACTGTTTTTGCTCAGACGCAGATAAAAGCGTCTGTTTTTGAGGCGTGGGCCGAGCGACTTGATTTCTTTTGATTCTGAAGCTGTAGCGTCTGTTTCCCAGCGTGAAGAGTCCAACAAGAGAAGATTTAAATTAATTTTCTCCTTTTATCTGATTGTGCATGAACATGAGAAAATGAAACCTCGTGTCAAATTGTAGATAAGCCTTGAATTTCACTTTTCTTCTGTGGAGTTCTGTGTCTGTGGGCGTCGGTTTCTACTGAAAATTCAAACTGAATGAACAACGGAGGAAAACCTCAGATCGTGTGTCTGGGTTCCGCAACACGTGTGATGCGACTTAACATGGAAACATCTTCCAAATCAAGTAGGCGTGTTTTCACAGTCGGGAAAGACTTTAGTTTATTACGTGACCCACTTTTCTTACCTGTGATTTATTCATTGGATGAGTATAAAAGGCGATTGAAGAATCTAAATGAAGAGTGCGTCGGAGTGTTGTGACCTGGTGAAGCTGCGGAGAGACGACTCGTCTGAATCTGTTCGTTGGGGTTTAAAACCTCTCGGTGTTCAGGGGCTCTCACTGCAGCGAGCTGGAGGCTGAAGGGTTTAAAAAAGTCTTTTTCAGGAGATTTGTTTTTAATTTCAGTTCATGAAAGTGGCCTGAAAATGCAACTCCCCTAAAATCCACTGCTCTGTTATCGATTGTCTTCCAGTTCCCCTCTGTGGTTCTGCACGATGTGTGTGTGTGTGTGACTCCTAATTACTGTCGTCTTCATTTGAACGGAGGAAACGCTCGCTCGGAGGGATTCTGTTGTTATTACTTAGATTTATTGAGATGATTGTGTTTTACCGTTCCCGCCCTGTTTGTCCCTGAAGCCTCCTCGTGCTGTTTATCATCGTTACGTTCAAATCTCCACCTCTGACCTGCCGATAGAACTTGTCCTGAAACTGCTGCTGCCGCCAAATCCTGAGACGATTCTTTTTTCTCCCGGACGATAGTTTGAGGTCATGAGAGTCGAAGCTTTCGGGGATTCCTCTCATGATCCGTTAGTTAAAGTGTTTCAGGACAACTTCTATTCTCTCTCTAAAGCAACTAAACAAAGAGCCGGTTCCCTAAACGCCTCCTCTCCTGCAGCTTTGACTCCTTCTGCTCCTTTGGCCCTGATGCCTCCTCCGTCGTCGGGGCCCAACCAGCCCGTGACGGTGTCTCGTCTCCAGATGCAGCTCCACCTGCAGGGCCTGCAGCAGAACACCAACGCTCTGCGCAAACAGCTGTCGCAGCTGCGCAACATGCAGGCGAGTGTGGACGCAAAGTTTACCGTTCTTTAAAATGTCCAGATACAGATTTTGTTGACTCGTGTTCTTCGTCCAAATGAACCGTGTGACTCTTCGTCGCAGCTGGAGAACCAGGACTCGGTCCTGACGCTGCTGAGGCAGACGGAGTCGGAGCTGAGCCTCATGATGCTGGACGCCATGCGCACTCAGGAGGACCCGCTCCAGAGACAGCGCCTCCTGGTGGAGGAGGAGAGACTCAAGTACCTGAACCAGGAGGAGCTGCTCATCCAGCAGCTGCAGTGAGTCCAGGCAGCGATTGATCCGAGCGTCGAGTTAATTTGTCTTGTCAACCTGGGGTCGAGGAAAACACGGGGGGGCGGCAGGACCGCACGCAGAGACGAGGGCTGGGTATCGAACATCTATCCTACATCAATGAGGATGTGTCGTGTTTTTGTTTTTTTTATTTAACTTCCCAACATTCACTCTGACTACAGAGTCGGTAGCTGCAGCCTGAATCTGCTGAGCTGTGATTCTCAGTCCACTCTCTCCTCTGTGTCAAACTCAATGAAGCTTCTTTAGTTTCCTCTTATTCCGCCGCACAGACGAGACCCAGTGGACAAAGGCATCATGGGAGGTCCGTCTGTCTGTCCCATTGTTGTGAACGCAATGTCTCAACATTTGGCACAAACATTGATTTAGACTCAGGTGAAGGGATTTGATTTCTGTGGCAGAAACTCAAAGGTCACGTTTCTTTTCCTCCTGAGCGACATCGTGTTTTCTTTTTACTACAATAAATGTTTTTGTCAGAAATCTTCTTTAAGATCTTTTTGCTTCTGAGAGAAGTTGAGTCTGTGACCCGCTCGTCCACAGCGACCTGGAGAAGTCGGTGGAGGAGCTGCAGAGGAACTCGTCCATCAACCACGGGCTGGTGACGGAGCAGGACGTGGAGCAGAAGAGCAAAGAGCTGAGGATTCTGGGAGAGACGCTCACTGAGCTGAAGAGTGAGTGTGTGATGTTTGATGATCTTTGACCTGTGGATCTTTTCCCTCCATGATTTGATTGTCATGATGTAAATACTGAGATTTCTCACGAACTTTACAAAAAGAAAAACATCGTAAATCTTTAAATCCGCTCACGTGAGGAACAGGTTTTATTCTCAGGTCAAAGTTCAACCACTTGTTCTGCTGAAATACGTGTTTGTCAAATTTCTGTTTCCCCGAGTCACAGATGAATATTTATGAGTCGTAATAAATTGATATTCATGAAGTTCTGGACTCGGCTCCTCTGACCCGTGTTCTCCGCTCGCCACCTGGAACATTACTCGTGAAATCTCAGAGGAGCCTGTTACGTGAACGTGTGGACTCGCTGCTTCTACTCGACGAGACGCTGGGTTTGTTCTGTTTGAGCGTCGGGTGAAGTTCAAATATTCGTCCACTCAGAAAAACCCTCTTTGCGTTTGATGCCTCTCGTCCATCGTGACCTTCGACCTCAGGAGAATCCACTGCCTTCAAATAACAGCGACAGAAGCTGCATCGTTGTGGTTCCTGTGATCCCCTCGCTCTTCCATCACATCCTCTCTGCTCATCCCTCTCTCTCTCTCTCTCCCTCTCTCTCCCCCTCCCTCACAGACCAGTTCCCCAGCCTGCAGAGTAAGATGCGGGTGGTGCTGAGGGTGGAGGTGGAGGCCGTGAAGTTCCTGAAGGAGGAGCCTCACCGCCTGGACGCGCTGCTGAAGCGCTGCAACACCATGACTGATGCACTCAGCACGCTGCGCAGGTACGAGCCCCGACTTCACTCACACTCGACTTTCTGTTGTGACTTCTCCGTGAAGGTTTTTGAATTTTCAGGTTTGTTCTAAAGTGACTGTGTATCGTCTGAGAATGAAAGATGAACTCTTTTAAATTATTTAAGTTACATGATAGTTTTATATTGTATCATGATCCTACAGTGAAATACTATGGAAGTGTATTATGGCCATACTCCATTATTGGATCTCAAGAATAATTGAAAACTATGAGAATAAAGTCGTAA